TCAGGCTTGTAGCTGATTGGAAGAGCTTTCAGGGGAGCATGAGAGTAAAACATAAAAAGCAATCTGCAGGTGACAAGACTTATAATAGCTGTGTTTACCTTATTACTGATCATTTTCAAAAGGGAAAACATCTGATGAGAGTTCATTACAAGAATAATAATGCAGCTGACAAGGAAATGTAGTTGTTTCAGTGGCATGTAAAACAAGATAAAAGTCAATCCCAAATAAATTTTTGGCAAATTATCAGTAAACATAGTGATTAACCCAATTTTCAAAGAAGAGGGAATATTATGCCAAATTTATAAAAGTGTGTGAGCATAATATTTCTAGGGAAAAAGACTTAGCTAAAACATAGAACAATCCTGATATAATATACCATGAATATGCCAAGCAGATAGCTTGAATATATCCAAAATATATCAGAAATATCATGTAAAACAATTTAGCAACTGAAATGTTTTAAACATTTGCTGATGCATAAAATTCAATGGGTAAGTGATGTGAATCCCAATAGCATAGAATGATGAGAAAGATGCTAGATGCAAAATCAAGGAGAAAATTTGAACTCAAGTTAATGTTTTTTTAAGAAACCGAAATTCTGACTGCAAACACTGTACAACACCCCTCACTCACCTTTATCCATGATCTCACTTTCTCCAAGTTCAGTTCCCTGTGGTCATTTACGGTCATCAAAGTACATTAAGATATTTGAACCAGGTGCTAGTGGCTCATACCTATAATCCTAGTTTCATGGGAGACAGAGGGCAGAAGGATTGAGGTTCAAGGCTGACTCAGACAGAAAAGTTTGCAAGATTCTACCTCCAAACTAACCAGCAAAAACTAAACTAGATGTGTGGCATAGCAAGCCTAAGGACCCAAGTTTAAACCCTAGTACTACCATTAAAAAAAGAAGAGGAAGAAAATGTGAAAGAGAAAGATAAAGGAGGAGAGGAGAAGGAAGAAGTAGTTCAAGGACTGGGGGGGTTGAATCAAGTGGTAAAGGATCTACTTAGAAGTCTCAAGGTCCTCAGTTCAATTCCATGTGGACCCAAAAAGGATATCTTGAGAAAGAGAACAAGACCACACTCATATAACTTTCATTATAGTATAGTTTGATAATTGTTCTATTATATTATCAGTTATTATAAATCTCTTACTTTGCCTAATATGAATTAGAGTTCATCAAAGTACATACATGCAGTAAAGTATATGCAGTATATACCGTATTTGGTATCATTTGCAGTTTCAGGCATCCACTAGGGGTCTTGAACACATCTCGATAACTACACTATAACTGTCCAATCAATGTTTGACAAAGCAGTAGCTGAACTGACAAGTAGAAATTTATTACAGCGAGTGAGAAAATGGATGAATCTATAGAAATATCCCACTCAACATACAATTTCTGAAATATTTATATTAGTAACATTTTACCAATTTAACCTAGGGAAGGAAATGATTTTATTTTCTAAATTGAAATCTCTTCGCATTTAGTAGTAGCACATCAAACCTAAGGATTGTCAGTGTCTCTCTTTACAATGTGAAAGAACAAATCATTCAGGATTTTCCATGGGTCCTCTCATACATGATTAAGGTAGCATGATTGGGTTATTGAAAAACAATACTTTGCTCTCTGTTCTGGCAAAATGATAACAAAGTGTTTTAAATATAAACATAGGAAGTAAAATGATTGTAAAAAATGTTAGGTTTTTCCTGAGAAGATTTTGCCTTTCTTAGGTAATCAAGGACATCATAAAATCAATATAAACTATAGAGGAGAATTGGACATGTAGCTCAGTGGTAGAGCACTTGCCTAGCATGATTGAGGCCTGGGTTTGATCTCCAGCATGGCAGGAATAAAAAAAAAAGAAGGAAAAGGAAAAAGCAGGAAACTATAGAATATTGCCCTGGCCTTTTCATTATCTGGGAAGGTTATTCAGAAGCAAGGTAGGCACCCAAGACACAGGCTATCGTCTCAGGAGGCTGAGATATGGCAATCTTAATTTAAAGCCAGCCCAAGCAGGAAAGTCTGTGAGACTCTTACCTCCAATTAACCACCAAAAACCCAAAAGTGGAGGTATGGCTTAAGTGGTCGAATACCAGCTGAGTGAAAAAAGCTAAGGGACAACTCCTAGGCTCTGAATTCAAGAAAAAGGTGAAACAAATGTTTTCCTACTTGTTTTTAAGAACAGACCAATAAGCCAGGCCCACTGGGCTTACACCTGTAATCCTTGCTGTGCAAGAGACTGACACCAGAAGGGTATTTTTTGAGACCCACCTGGGAAAAAGTTGACAACGCACCCCTTCCCCCCACCCATCATCTAATTAAAAAGCTGGGCTAAGTGGTACATTCCTGTTATCCTACATGGACTTGGATAGCCAGGGCAAAATACAAGACCCTATTCGAAAAGTCACGAAAGCAAAAATAAACAAACAAATAATGAAAGCAAAAGGGACTGGAGGTAAGATTCAGTGATAGAACTCCTGGCCAGCTAGTGTGAAGCCCTGAGTTCAAACCCCAGTCCAGCCAAAAAAGAACAGACCCAATTTTTAAATTGCCATTTTAAAAGAGAAATAACAAAATTCTCATTTTCATCAGTATATTTGATACTAAAGTTCTTTTTATGAACTTATAATCTTGTCAAACCTTAGCCATATTTGACCTGAATAATTAAAATTCTCTTCCCACAGACGATCTACAACTTTTTTTATCCAAACACATCCTTTTAGTAATAGTCTCTAAGTAACTCAAAAGAATACATTCATTAACAGATTCTAATAGCTAGCTAGCAGAGAGAGAGAGAGCTAGAGAGAGAAAGAATATATATCTTCCCATAGTATGTAAAAGTAGGAAGAAAATGCAGATAATCCTAGAGTTATATGTAGTAATTATTGATTTGAGTTTCTTTTACTGAGAAATCATCTAAGTATTTAATGAATTTATCCATTATTTCAGCCTGGCATCTGCCCACAGTTTGCAGTTACTTAAATATTTTATAAATTATCTTCAAACTGATAGGCTATGAAACATAATTACTATTGAGATAAAGTTTGTTATAATAATGACTCAATTTGGTTAAACAAATTTTCAGTTTTTAAATCTTAAGCATCTAGAAGTAAACCTATATAAATAAATCTACTTATATGTTATATGTAACATTGACACATCAGAAAAGATATAACTGTTTTAGGAAGTAAAAGGTACTGAATTAATCTTATTTGTCAAAATGACCTCTATTATACAAACTTGGATTCTTAAAACATTTGCAATTGTTTTTATAGGAACATTTTTAGCCCTTTAAAAGCTTCCTCCTTGCTCACTCATTACTGGCACTGTACCATTTGAGCCATGCTTCCAGCTTGGTTTTTAACAATTATTTCTGCCTGGGCTGGCTTCAAATCATGATCCTCTAGATCTCAGCCTCCTATGTAGCAAGGATTATAGGTGTAAGGTACCCTCACTACTCTCTCATGAACCAGGAGTTTTATGGAGTTGGGTAAATTGGATAATTCCCTTGTTTACCCAACTCCATAAATCTCCTGGTCCATGGGAGAGTAGCTAGGATTACAGGTGTAAACCATCAGTGCCGGGCACATATTTAATTCTTATTTATAGAGAATTAATAGATGGCTGAATTACTTTCGTGTGTGTGTGTGTGTGTGTGTGTGTGTGTGTGTGTTTGTGCACGCGCTGGGGCTTGAACTCAGGAGCTGTGCACTGTCTCTGAACTTAGTATTCCATCACTTGAGCCACACCTCTACTTCTGATCAGAGTCTCACAGACTTTCCTTCCCAGGGTGGCTTTGAACAGTGATCCTCAGATCTCAGCTTCCTAAGAAGCTAGGATTACAGATGTGAGCCACTAGCACCTGTCTGGGGGCAAAGTATTCTTTGTCTCGATATCTGGGGTCACTTCAGTGCAGCAGTTTATCCCTATATTTTTCCAGCTTCCTGTTCACCAGTGTACCTGTCTTGTTGATTCTGCCTATGAACCAGGGCTTTGTGTAGAACACACAATTTTATGGTAAAATCTAGTGGTAGATTTCATAAAGAATTTTCAGCATTTGTAATTCTGGGAAGATTTCTCTCAGTGGCAAAGATGCCATTGAAGTGTTCATGTCTAGAATTCAGTTTCAAATAAAATCATAGGACACTTTTTGAAAAATAATAGACTAGATATTTGAAGTATCTGTGGAAGCAAAGAAACTTCAACATTGGACATACAGCCTTAGAAGTTGATGATAAAGTGTTCTTTTACATCTAATCAGCGAGGCATAGTGGAAATATAATAAAAGAGCAGGTGAATGTTGATAAGAGAGTAATGTGATGCAATAGTACTAATAGCAAAACACATTAAAGGACACTAGTGAAATCCATGACAACAGTTTTTCTGAAGGAAGCAAAATAACTAGAAAAGGTTGCTTCACTGTTCATTGTAGTAATTACATTTACAGAAATACAATATTATGCTGCCCAGGAGGTTATTCATTTGTATGTTCTACACTCAACTTTTATGAGCAATAAGTGCCAAGACATATTAGAAAATTAAAGGAAAACAACTTGTAAGTTTTATCATAGGGTCTGTACAGAGTATCCAATATTTATCATCTATGATATTGTCGTTAAGGTTATAAGTAGATGCTAGCTTTCTTATGGTTCTGGGAGGGTTCATCACAATGACCCCAGGGAATTTACACTTTTTTAAAAAGTAATTCCTAAGTCATCAGAGAAAAGTTCTGTCTTGCTGAATTATGCTATGAAAATCTGGGTTCCTAAATGGAAAATGTTACCAATCCACGTGAATATTTCCTTTTACCCAAACACTTCATTCCTTGATCATTCTGGACCATTTGCTATGTAATCCTTATATGTGGATTTTTGTTTTTCTTAAAAGAACGAAAGACTTTAAGAGACTAGATCTCCAGGGTTAGATCCTTGGCTTTAAAGACTCCCTTGGAATGTATTGTGGCTGTTGGCTCTAGCAACTTATTTTCTTGCAGAGATGAAGCATCTGGTTTTTGTTATCTCAATGATGCTGTCCTGGGAATATTACGATTGCGACGGAAATTTGAACGTATTCTCTATGTGGATTTGGATCTGCACCATGGAGATGGTAAGCCCTTCAGTTTCAAAGATGCTAGTACAGCAGGTTTAGATCAGTAAAGTTCCTTCTAGAACAAATACCTGTTGCAAATGTAGTTTTACTAACTGAGAGTTCTAAAGTAGGAAGTGCAGAGATTCCTCTGATTCAATTCTTGCTTTGCTTCTCAAGCCACGCTCCTATCATTTCTACTCTCCTCTCTCCCTGTGACAAAGCTGTATATAGAAAACACTAAAACCTAGTAGTGTTTATCCAATTATGCAGGCACCTCACAGGGTCTTTTTTTTTTTTTTTTTGGTAGGTCGTGGGGCTTGAACTCTAGGCTTGGGCGCTGTCCTTCAGCTCTTCAGCTCAAGGCTAGTGCTCTACCACTTGAGCCACAGTGCCACTTACGGTTTTCTGGTGGTTTATTGGAGATAAGAGTTTCATGGACTTTCTTTCCCTGGCTGACTTTGAACCTTGATCCTCAGATCTCAGCCTCCTGAGTAGCTAGGATTACAGGCGTGAGCCACCAGTGCCTGGCTTCACAGGGTCTTTTATCATGACTTCTAAGGGAAATTTGTGCTTAGAGCTGTCTCTGTCTTTTCATTAGTACTTTTATCAAGATTCTTCTTGGAGGGGCTGGGAAGGTGGCTCAGTGGTAGCGTGCTTGCCTTGCATGCCTGAGGCCCTGGGTTCGATTCCTCAGCACCACATAAGCAAAAAGATAAAAGCCGGAAGTGGCGCTGTGGCTCAAGTGGTAGAGCGCTAGCCTTGAGCTGAAGAGCTGAGGGACAGCGCCCAGGCCCAGAGTTCAGGCCCCACGACCGGACCCCCCAAAAAAAAAAAAAGATTCTTCTTGGGGTCTTTGAAGGTGGCTCAGTGGTAGAGTGCTTGTCTTGCATGCAGGAAGCCCTGGGTTTGATTTCTCAGCACCACATAAGCAGAAAAATCCAGAAGTGGCACCAGTTCCTGGCTAATACCACACTCTCTTAACAATTTAGATGGACTTTCCTAAACTTCCTGCACATTTTCCACCTAGAATGTAGACTTCCAGGGACAGTTGCCACATTCTATTTCTCTAAGAAGTCCTGTCTGTGACACAAAGCATTTCATGCAATAAATTATTAAAGACTATCCTGCCCCCTCTCCACATTAGTGGTTAATGCTTCCCTATTTCTAGGAGCTATTTTTTTAGCTAGACTAACATCACAGCATAAGGGAGGAAAACAATAATATATGTCTGTGCTTAAGGTTAGCTTTGCTGCCAGAATAGAAACAGAAAGAATAAATTTTGTCAGGGAGCCTCCCCCAAGGTGCTTTACCCGCCTGGATGCTAGAAACACATGATCTATGACAGAAAACTGAAGGTAACAGAGTGGAGAGAGAAGGGTTAAAATAATATACTACTTTGAGAACCACATTAACTGAACTGAATATAACCTTGACCGTACTCAAAACCTTTCTGAGGCCCTATGTCCTATAACAAGGAAAGCCATCTGACCCATGGCTTATTTTTATATGGCCAGTAAGTTAAGAAATTTTTTACCACTTTTAAAAGGTTGTGAAAGTATATAAAAGTGTTATGTGTGTACATGCACATACGCGTGTGCGCGCACACACACACACATGCACTGTATAATAGTAACCTTATATAGTTTACAAAGTCTAGAATGTTTACTAGCCACTTAAATTTTCTGACTCTAGGTCTGAGGCAATTTCTCCCTGCCCCCACCCACTCTCTCTATTTTGGTCAGCACACCTCAGTCCTTTGGTTTTCAAATTTGACTGAACAGCAAGGGTGACTGATGTTTTCAAATACAGATTACTGGGCTACACACCCAAAATATTCAGATTAAGTAGGTTAAAGAATTTATATTATAACAATATTCTGATTGTTCTTCAGGCCACACCTTGAAAAGCAATGATCTTCCCTATAAAGTCCTCAGTTAGTACTGTCTTTCAAGACTTCCCTCAGGCCTCTTCTCATTTTAGCTATCCTATTTCTCACTACTCACTGTCCATTCGGTCTACTCAATGAGCAGGTCTCTTTCCAGATCCCTACCTTTGCCTCCCTTTTCTTTACCTTTGCTTCCTCCTCTGCTTTTGTAGCTCCTGCTTCTACCTTCGTTCAAATCCCAGCAGTAACAGATTTTCTTTGCCCACTCCAGCCTAAAGGGTTCCCTTCTGCCTTTTAAATCCTGTATTGTTTGTATCACTGATTGTTATTTAATTATGCATTATTTTGTATTGTTAAACTTTAGTGTAACTGTCATTTCTTACCATAGAAACTTTAAATTCTTCCAGAGTAGAGATCTTTCTCTCTGTACAATGAATTGAACCAACAGTACTCTGCATGTAATAGTGGTTCAGTAAAAATTTTTGTCATATGAATGAATGATTATGAAATTCAGAGTTCAAGAATAGAACCAACTCTGTTAAACCATATAAGAACAAAATAAGACTGTCACCCGAAACCATTCTTTCCATTTGCAGTGTTATTTCTACACCATTTAGAGTTTCCTGTTTCAGCCAACTTTTATGGTGTGTTTCATTTCAGTTTATTTCCCCTCTTCAGCACCTCCCTTCTAGTGACCCCTGCCCCACCCCCAAACTCTTACACATTTGGTTTCTTTTAAATCTCCCATGATTCCATCACTAACCTCCCGGGTGGCTTCCCTCACCACTCTCCTTCACACCACCCCATTTCCTCCACCTCTTACTATGTCCATTTGAAAGTATGATTTTCTAACTGCCCAGTAGTATTTCTACCACCCCATTCAAAAAAAAAAAACAAATGGATACTAGAGATAGATAAAAGGATGGTCTATACCCTAATTCATCAGGAAATGCAAATTAGGAATGCATATTATTCTTTCCGCCTAAGATTAAAAAGAATAGATCTAGTCACTGGGAGGAAGGGGTTGCAGAGAATTCACACACACATTTGGCTGAGGTATAAATTAATAGTTTCTTGATGGGTAAATAATCTGGATTTTCATGCAGTGTAATTATTTCTAACTTGAAAAGATATTTTGTGTTGTTTCATTTAGTCTCCTTCATACTTTTTGCCTGGGGCCTCTAACTGGTTTTAACTGCTTCCCTAGAGCAAAGCATAAGGCTTGGGAAATTCAAACATACCTGTTATATCCAAATAGACTTCATATTATTTTTAAGATCTCTGTTGGCCTCTAATGAGGACTGAATGCATTTAAGTCAACACAGAGACAAAAATCGTTGTTTGGAATGTAAGAGGATAATACCTGAATTTGCTCATTGTTCTTCCATTTTACAAAGTAATTATGTGACCAACAGTATGACATTAGGTAATCCTGAGAGGAAAGGGGTACTTGTGGGCAGTACAGTTATCATGTAAGTAGTAGCTTTGTGAAGGTTACTATAAATTGCAACTTTTATACCTAAACATTATTTTCTGACTTTTTATAACAGAAAGAGCCAAAAGCCACTCCTCTAGTCTTCCTCCAGGCTTTAAAACTGTTGTAGTTGAGTGTAGTTGCTAATGCCTATAATTCCAGCTACTCAGAGGGATCAGGATCATAGGTCAAAGGCAACTGAAGCAAAAAGTGAGACCTCCCATCTCAACAAATAAGTTGGGCATAGTGGCACATACTTGTTAGCCCAGCTACTGAAGTATTAAAAGGAAGATCAGCCCACATATAGGGGAGGAGACATAAATAGGAGGAGGGTCATAGTTCAGGCTTGTCTGAACATGTATGCAAAGACAGAACTGTCTTCCAACTCTAAAGTAAAAGAGGCTGGAGACAGAGCTCAAGTAGTAGAGCACCTTCCTAGCAAGGCCCTAAATTCAAATGCTAATACCACATTTTAAAAAAAACCTTCTGTAATAAAGATGCTATAAAGGACAAGGCTTGACTATTTTCTGTTTTCAGTATCTTAACCAGAAGATGAGCTATACAATACTAGGTACCAAGTACCAAGGGAAATTCAGGCAGTCTGCATTTATAACCAAATCTGCATTAGAGAGAGGCACTTCATAATTAGTTTTTCACTATATAATGCTTAATGTTTGTTTTGGATATGTTTTTAAAGAGTTATTATACTTCTTTGAAAAAACAATCCCAAGCATTGAACTAGAGTCACTTACACAAAACAGTAGAGAAGAAAGTTGGTGCTAACTCTATCTGTTCAGTTCTGTTGACAATGCCTCAGTCCTGGGCCTTTGTTTTTCCCCACCACTCAGAGCACAAGTCAAGGAGAGCCCAGGGATCCCGTTATTCAGAAAGGGGAAGTCTGGTTATACTTTGCCATGGATTCGAAAAGGTACCTTCAAAGTTCACTTGGAGCCCGAGTCTTAACACATTTGTAATTGCAAAGATGGGAAACCAGGGATGTGTGCTGCTTTCAGTAATGAGCTGCTTTCTCATCTCCTCCACTTTCCACAGCTGTTTTCAAGATTTTTCAGATGTTGCAAACAAGACACCTATCTATGCAGTAATCTCTCTGATGTTTCTTTCTCTGGTAGGTGTAGAAGATGCCTTCAGTTTCACCTCCAAAGTCATGACTGTGTCCCTGCACAAATTCTCTCCAGGATTTTTCCCAGGCAAGTGATCTCTGTGCTTCCTATACATTTAATGAATAGATACTGTGATTCTTCGCCACAATTCTACTATTCTTATGCTACTTACCTCTTATTGGTGCTAGTCTATGCAAAAATTTAAAACTCTCACTTCAAGTGACAATAACAAGAGGAATGACAGTAACACTGCTTGCTCCTTCTGGATGATTTTTATGGACTATAAACAGTCACTTACACTTACTATGCTATTGGTAGGCCAGGCTGGTCTGGACATCTTAATAGTTTATTGATATTATGTCCACCTAAGACATACAAAAAACTCAGGCAAAAGGTTAAATCTCTTTTTTTTATATCCCATTCAGTAAGATGGAAACTTCAGTGCCTTTATGGGTTTCCTGCTTTCCCTAACATTGTACTTGTTACATCTCCGTATTCTTTTTCTTAATTTCATTCTTTTTCATCACTAATTTCAAATATTCTCCAAAGTAATTGTTTTAGTTTTCCCAATTGCTGCCAGAAAATCCTTTAAGTTTTCTGAGTTGTTGTGCTTTTAATAGCTGATAACAATGTTTCTCTCTATCACAGGTACAGGTGATGTGTCTGATGTAGGCTTAGGGAAAGGACGCTACTACAGTGTGAATGTGCCTATTCAGGATGGCATACAGGACGAGAGGTATTACCACATCTGTGAAAGGTATGGCAGGAACCTGAGCTAGTAGCAAGTAGATGGTATCTCTGTGGGATGCAGTGATATCATCAGAGTTCTTGTTTGCAAGGAACAGTTTGAAAAAAAAAACAATTGCATGAATACATAGCTTTTAGCTACTGCTCATTCTGATTATTTGATTGGGTAGCAACCCTCTGTTGGAGAGAGCTGAGCAGCTAAACCAAGTCATGCTCCACGTGTACCTCCTATTCCATATGATTAAGACCATCCCCAAAGAAAAGCTTTTAGGTTGTCTTGGGGAAGCATTTGTCTGTTACTTTCTTAGCCAAAGAAACCTATTGTGTGTAACTTCTTTAATATGATGGAATACAGTTCTGTTCCCCTTATGGAGACCTTCCTTCCCTAAACTATTGTGAATTTTACATTTGACTATAATCCTCCCCCCTTTCCCTCCCTCCCTTTTTCCTCTTTCCTTCTCTCTCCCTTTGTCCTTCTCCTTCTCCCCCCCCCTTTCTCTCTCTACATTACTAGGGTTTAAATTTAGTACCTTGTACTTGTTAACTCTTCTGCCAGCAGAGGCCTCAAACCTTAATCCTTTGAATCTCAGCCTCCTGAGTAGCTAGGATTATAGATGTGTGAGCCAGTGGTTCCCTGCTAGAGTTGATTATAATTCTTTATCATGCATTCTATCCATGGTGGTAAAATTGTAGTCAGAAATGTGTGTGCATGTGTGCATGTGTGTGCGCATGTAGTGCTGGGGATGGAATCCAGGGCCTTGTACATGCTAAGTACACACTACAAAATTGAGGTACATTAGCCCCAAAGATGGTTGGATTGTGTGTGTGTGTGTGTGTGTGTGTGTGTGTGTGTGTGTGTGTATTGGTATGGGGCTTGAAGTCAGGGCCTAGGCACTGTCCCTTAGCTTTTCCACTCAAGGTTCTTGCTCTACTACTTGAGCCACAGTTCCACTTCCAGCTTTTTGGTGGCTCATTGGAGATAAGCGTCGCCTGGATTTGTCTGCATAGGCTGACTTTTAACTATAATCCTCAGATCTCAGCCTCCTGCATAGCTAGGATTGCAGGTGTCAACCACTGACCCAAATCTGTTTTCACCTTAAAGTCAAGGATCAAATTACAGACACTTATATAGACAGTTTGATTTGTAGACCATTGATATGGACACATCCTGCAGAATGTGGTGGAATGTTAAGCTCTTATTTGCAAAAATTGAGATTTCAGGTATAAATAAACTCACTGCTGCCAATGGCAAGAAAAAAAGTGAGTCTCCCTAGAACTCAAGTCTACCGAACTATAGGTCAGCAGCAGGGCTTGAGATACTCCAGATCCCTCCTTTGCTGGGCTCACAGTTCTTCTCTCAAGTTCTGCTGGCAAACAGAGGGTTCCCGAAGGAGCCTGGCCACACTGGCCACCATCACTGGCAGTTGTATAAACAAAGCAGAACTACTTAAAAATGAAAAACTTCATGCTTCAAAGGTGCCTCTTAGCTTAAGAGATTTGGCCAGCCAATCAATCCTTCCCTCACTCATTCCGCAGCACTAGCCCCTTCAAGATTTTCATCTTGTGCCCTGGCTGCTTCTGTATTGTTAGACTGGAACCTAACATTGATGGTTTAATTGCCCTTCTTTGTTCCCCTCAGACTCTGTTCTGTCCTTGAGGTGTGCAGATCAGAGCTGCTTTTATGTAACTTCGCCAATGAATGAGTCTTTTGGTTCTCTATAATCAGAAACTTACTTTGTCTTTATTCCTTTCTTGACCATGCCCAAAAATTTGTTGTCTTTTTTTTTGTACTAGAAAACTAGATTATTCTCTTCAGGGCACCATCCACAAAGTTTCCTAGAGCTCTGGCTTGGCCTTAATTGAAAGGCCACCACTCATAAGCCTGGAAGTATGGTTTGTAGCCTTCCCTAAATGAATTGCCATCATGTACCCCGACTGAAATCCCCTGAGATCTTCCTAATCCTCTACCAGCATTGCATTTCACTACTTAGAATATGTGAGTATTATCTGTAGACTGAAGGTTTCCCAGTGCTCACCCCCAAGGACACCTACTACATACCCTTCTTCAATAAGAAAAATGCCTCTTTCTCCCCTGCATTTTGTTTTCTTTTTTTAAAACATACTCCAAGTCCAGCACCAGTGGCTCTTACCTGTAATCCTATCTACTCAGGAGGCTGAGATCTGAGGATCATGGTTCAAAGCCAGCCTGGACAGGAAAGTCTGTGAGACTCTTATCTCCAATTAACTACCAGAAAACCTGAAGTGGCGCTGTGGTTCAAGTGGTAGAACACTTGCCTTGAGCTGAACAGCTCAGGCCCCATGCCCAACAGAGTTCAAGCCCCATGCCCAACAAAAACAAAAACAAAAAAAACATACTCCAGTTCCTGCTACATGATACAAAAATTTAATCTCATGGTAATTCATGTTTAAAAATACTCTTGGTATAAAACTTAATTACAGGGCTGGGAAGTTGGCTCAGTGGTAGAGCGCTTGCCTTGCATGCATGAGGCCCTAGGTTCAATTCCTCAGCACCACATAAGCAAAAAAGAAAAAAAGCTTGAAGTGGTGCTGTGGCTCAAGTGGTAGAGCACTAGCCTTGAGCTGAAGAGCTGAGGGACGCATGCAATTCCAGAGTTCAGGCCCCATGACCAGACCCAAAAAAAAAAAAAAAAAAACTTAATTACAAGCATTTTAAAAGTAAACAGCCCAAGCATTTATTAAAGATCCACCAGAGCTACTTGAATGGGGAATATAAGATGATTGAAGTTCAAAGCCATGGGACAAAAGAAAAAATATTAAGACCCTATCTCCAAGAAGAAGCCAGGCATGATGGTTACATTTGTAATCCCAGCTACTCAGGAGGCAGTGGTAGGAAGATTGTGGTCCAAGCCAGCCCAGGCAAGATGTTTGCCTAGCAAGTTCAAAGCTCTGAATTCAGTTTCCAAACAGAGAAGACAGGCAGGCAGGCAGGCAAAGAGTGATTTTTCTAGCTTCTCTACTAATGAACCAGTGTACAGATCCCAGGGCCATTTGCTCATGGAGCCACAGCAGTGATCATCTAGAATAACAGTTTCCAGGTTTTCATTAGAGGTACAAGAATTGTTTCCTTTGATTTTTTTCCTTAGAAATCAAGCCTGCTTAGGGCATTATGTGAAGATACCCTCTCATTCCAGGGGTGCCAGGAAGGTTTCCTGGACCACACATCTCTCCCATCTGTTGGACTCATACCTAAATTCTTTCAACAAGATCAAGATTTGTTTTCTACAATTAGAAATATGCCTGGAAATGAAAATTTGGCACAATATCTCCTCACTCCACTCAGTTGTAGTCATATAATTTCACAGGCAGCTGCTTTGCAAAGAGCTAGGATGGGAGCTCCTTGTAGAACAGAGGAGCAGGAGTTGAGTGATGGACCACTAGGGGGGAAATGGTAAAAGTAAGACAGCAATCCTTGTCAACTAACCAACCAGATTTGCACAGTCTTGCCAGTCCTGGCAACTAGGTCTCAGTCCCAAGAATCATCTTTTCAGTTTATTACCTCTGACCCATCTGCCTGCCTCAAAAGATACACCAGATACATAAATGGCTCATTTGTTCTGAATCTCAGTGGCATTTTGGCTTGCTTCTGGTGAGATAGTAAGGACCTCTTATCAGTGCTTCTGAGTGAGCTGCCTGAACTTGTGCAATTTACTAAACTGTCCTTGTCTTCCTCACTTTCTTCCTCCCTTCCCCTTCTAGTCTCTTTTTTCTTTTCTTTTTCTTGCCTCCTTTGTCCTTTCCCCTCCCTCTCTCCCTTCCTTTGTAAACAAGATGATTTTTTTCTCTCAGCTTTCTGACCTTGCCACTGTAACACTGAATGCAAATCTCTTTTTAAAAAGTCAGATTAGCTGGGCCCCAGTACTCATGCCTGTAATCCTAGCTATTCAGGAGGCTGAGCTCTGAATATCACGATTCAAAGCCAGCCCGGGCAGGAAAGTCCATGAGACTCTTATCTCCAATAAACCACCAGAAAACCGGAAGTGGCGCTGTGGCTCAAGTGGTAGAGTGCTAGCCTTGAGCTAAAGAGCTGAGGGACAGCGTTTAGGCCCAGAATTCAAGCCCCATGACTGAAAGAAAAATAAAGTCAGATTACTGGGGCGTTGGTGGCTCACACACCCATAATCCTTGCTACTCAAGAAGGTAAGATCTGAGGATCACGGTTCAAAGCCAGCCCAGACAGACAAGTCCATGAGACTCTTACCTTCAGTTAACCACCCAAAGAAGTACAGTTGTGTCTTGAAGAATGCTAGCTTTGAGAAAGCTCAGGGACAGCACCCAGGACTGACATCTAGCCCCAAGACCAGCACACACACACACACACATACACACACAATCAGCTTAGCATTTCTTATAATAGATTACATGTGGAAGCTTGACACAGCCATTTTCTAATGCCACCAAAAGGCCTTGTGTTCCATTTTATGTAAATGGCAATTTCACAATTAGTTTTTTCCAGGCAAATAGTAAGGCAAGGGTTATTGATTCCCACAAACTTCCTTAATTTCCATGGGAATTACTAGAATTGTTTTAGAAATAGGTTTCTGTTTTTTTTTTTCTGCTTATGTGGTGCTGAGGAATCGAACCCAGGGCCTCATGCATGCAAGGCAAGCACTCTACCCACTGAGCCACCTTCCCAGCCCCTAGGTTTCTGTTTTAACTAGCATGAGAGAACTTCAACATTACTTTTATAAGTATACCTTCCCCTTCAAATGAAAGTCTACAGCACCAGTATAGAGATGGTACAGGTATATTGCTGTAAGGTGAGAAATCAGAGAAACCACATTTTGAAAGATTAAATCTTGGAATCTTTATTAAAAAGCCGGCAACTTCATGGTAGACCCCTGTCTCCCTGTCTCAAAGACCAGCAGCCAGTATTTACACTTAACAAAGTTAGGAAACAGGCCAGAGGGAAGGAAAGAACCAACAAACCAATTCATCTCCAGTGGAGAGCTGAAGTGGGACACCATGGTG